CTTTCTATGTCTCTTTTTTATGTTGGGTTTTTTTTTCCTCTTTCCCCTCCACCCAGGAGCATCTTGTTCATCTGTGCAGGCCACCTGCTACCTTTCTTGTTCATCAGGATGAACCATTCTTGAATTTGAAGGAGGTGATCCTTGGAAATCAGAGAGTTCTCCTGGCCCCCTCTTCTCTGTGGGACAGTGTATCATGAGATTATTACAAGGAGTGCAAGTCTGCTTTCCAGTAGTCAAGGGCTGTGATCAATAGGTTCTTCAGCTAGTCAGAATTATGACTATTAAATTGCACTTAAAAAAGAAGAAGAAGTAGTGGAGGTAAATTCTAGTCAAATGGCAAATTTTTTTGCTGACTTCATTAGGTCCATCATGCCTTTTAAATTCTCTGTATTGCTTTTAATTGTGGCCTTTTTTTGATGAACTGTGCCAGCAATGGTAACATCAAAAAGATGTGAAAAGAAGAAGCATAAGGGGAATAATAAACTAGAGAACAAAGGGGAGTCTGTATATGTGAATAACTGCATGTATAAGTTAAGTTGAAGAAGAAATTATGTACGCTTACGTGTCTTGCATTTAGTTATTCCTATAGCTGAAAAAAAAAGATGTGTCTCACATTTAGGCCCATGCTAAATTTCACATAGGTGAGATTAAATTAGATTATTTCCACACAGACTATAAAACTATAAATGATTAAAAAAAGAAGAAATTAGAACCTGAGCTGAGGCATGGCAAAGTATTCTCACATCATTCCAGGCAGAAGTGGATCTAATTTCCTGGACTCATAAACAAATTACATGGATATAAAACATCATAGGCCATTGGTTGCTCTGTATTAATTAGTCATGGGCATGTCTGCTATAAATATGAAGCAGGTTTCTCTTCAGAATTGCAAAGCACTTTGAACAAATTAGAAGCCTCAAGTACTTCACAATAAATAAAATAATGCAATCCTGTGCAACACTCCTACTTGCTCACCTTAAGCCTGTTCTTAAATGTCTCAGATATCAAAAAACACTTTAAAAATCTGTAGCAAAGGAGGCTGACAATAGTTGTTATCCTTAGTATTATGTTAGACACTGTCACTGTTTTTCCAACCCGTTGGATGTCTACCTTGAGACAGCTTCTTCTAGCCAAGTTTCTTGAACATGTTTATGAAAATACCATATGTGGAAAGTGTCAAAGCTTCTTTAAATGAGCATATAGCACAACTACTGTCTCCTTTTTATCCACTAAATTGACTATCCTGACAGAGAAGGAATTTATATTGTTTCAACATAATTACTCCTGATAATCCTATGATTTTTTTACCATCTTATTATCCTGTAGGTGTTGATAAATTACTTAATTCGTTCTAATACATTTCTGGGAATCAAAGCTGGGTTGACCTGATAACTTTCTGGGTCCTCTTCTTCTCAAAAATAGGTCAAATGCCTGCCCAGACCTACTGATTTTCTACCTTATGTGACCTCCATAAATTTTTGAAAACAATCACTATTAGTCCACAAATAGATTCAGCTAGTCCTTTAAACATTCCAGGGTGAATCTCATCATACCATTTCCACTGAATGCATTTATTCAAATGCTGGTTAGTCAATTCTTTTGTTCCATACCCTCTGGCTAAAATTTATTTTCTTAAATAGCAGTCAACTGGCCCTTTGCTAAAGCAAAAGAAGCCTTTTCTGTATCATCTACTACCTGCTCTCCTTTCCTGCTAAGTAACAGCAGTACAAAAAAAGCAGAGGAAGTTACTGTAATGACAATCTTTTTGTTGCCTTTTATACTGTTATGTGCCTTAGCCTTTCTGGCATCCTGTTAGATGACTGCTGTTCTTTTCTACTCTCTTCCAGTCATAGGGTTTTGATTCCACATTTTGTAGTATTCCTTTTCATTTTTCAGGGTGTGAAAGGAACTTGATCCTGCCATATTATTCCTTTATTCTGCTGCTTCCGCTTCAGGACAATTTTCTGTTCTACCTTAAGCTCACTCAATGCAGGATTTTCTGTGCTCCCTTTGTCCCTAAAATTTCTTTCCAAGAGATCCTACTTACCAGTTCTCTGAGCTCATTGAAGGTCGTCCTTTCTGAAATCCATTATCCTATTTCTACTGCTCTCAGTCCTCCCTTTCCACAGTGAATATTTTGAGATTTTTAACCACTCCTTCTCTTAGTCAAAATCAAATCTAAAGTAACCATTTCCCTCTTATGTTTCCCCACGTTGTGGGTCAAGCAGCTAAGCACTCTGGCCAGCAGAGTCACACAGTCACTATCTCACCCCCTTACCATTGTCCTCCATTGGGATGGAGGAGAGAATAGGAAAAGCAAAAGTGAAAAAAACCTCATGGATTGACATATATGTGGTTTAATAAGAGAAGGAAAGAGGGAAAAAAACCAAGATGCAAAGGCAATTGCTTTCCATCACCCACAAGCAGACTGGTGCCCAGGCAGTCTCCAACCAACAGCTACTTTGAAAGGGAACGCCCCCAGTTTTTATTTCTGAGAATGATGTATGATATAGAATATCCTCTTGGCCAGCTTGGGTCAGCTGCCTCAGCTGTATTCCTTCCCAAGGCATTGCTCATGCCCAACCTGTTCATTGGGAAGGCAGCATCAGAAAAAGAGAAAGCCTCGAGGCTGTGCAAACACTGTTCAGCAACTGCCAGAACTGGTGTGCTTTAGTAACAAATCCAAAACACTGCACCCTATGGAATCCTACGAAGAAAGTTAACTCCATTCCAGACAGATCCGGTACCATGTTTTGAAATAAGTAAATATTCTCAACATTGTCAAGAACTTTATGAGCCATTGATCTCCTCACATATTAATATGCTAGCAGATACTGAGATCATGGAAGTTTTCCATTGCCATCAGATGAAGGCTTCAGTTAGTTGCTTGAAAAACCTTCTCATAATCTTCTAGAGAGTTAGTTGTTAGTAGATCCATAAAAGAACACAACCTAGGGTGTTTTTTTCTCTTTAAAGTTCACTCAGAACTTTCTACAGGTCTCTCTCTTAACCCTGTTTTGTGTGTAGAACAAGTACTTATAAGAAATCATTCAGAAGCTAAGAGGTGGAAGTGCACATAAATGCCAGAAACCACAGAACACCTTCAAAAATCTTTTGAAATACTGACATGGGGACACAGTAGACCATGACTACCAGTAATACTTAGAGTTCAACAGCTTGCATTTGAGAGTAATGATAAAACAGGGGTCGTCTTCTCCAAAAGTAATATTCCTATCACTTCAGCTAAGGGCAGATACATGATAAAACTTCACATTACTATTATGTAGAACGCAAGCTCAAATCTAAAATGCTCCTGCCTGTTTCATTCTAAGATCCCACCCTTGAATTTCCAGGTGAAGCTTTCAGATGAGACCAGGCTTGGAAAGAAAAGTCGTGCTGAAGCGTCTCTGATTTCAGGACTGAGCTGTTACTGCACTTCAGCCAAGGCAGAAATCAGTCCTAACTCCTTTTATAGATCTGGAGCACGAATTCTGTATTATGTTTATGAGAACTAAGATTTATTGAGCAGAAATGCATGTGTGCATATCTATCTGTCAATCCCTTTAACAATCTGGAATGCTTCATTAAGATTAATTTATTTGGAAAAAAAAAAAAACACAAAAAGAAGGCAGGGGTTTCTACAGGTTTGTACAAACTGTATGAAAAAATTCACCTGGTAAATATGAGAAAGGTACTATCAATGCCCTCCTGAACACCTGAGGAAGAAGTCCAGACTTGTTAGAAGTTAGTTCTCACCTTTGACATACAAATCAATGAGAAAACAGTTCTGTTGCTCTGAAACTATTAGTTCTTTCACAGAACTCTACAAGTAAAATAGTCATAAGAAGGAGGCCATAGTCAAGCAATAAAGCATAAGGATTAAAAATTGAAATAACGCACAACTTTTAAAAAAAAAATAATTGGCTGCAGTATGAGAATTGAAAACATTAATAAACACTTCACAAATCGTCACACCAGTCCTACTGTTAGTAGATTTAGTAAATGACAGATGTAGTATTTTATTGTATACTTCTTTATAATTTTGTTAAACATTACACTTTTATATGGGCCTAAAGTCTACTTCTCTTCTCCTGCACTTCCATTTTCACTTCAGAAAAACAAAAAAGGAGGTGTAGAGGAAAAATTAAATTGCCAGTGCATAAACAAATAAACATTATCTTTTTAATGCAACGCATATTTAAATGAAAAGCTTGAATTCCAGACTGAGCACTCAGGTGGGGTTTTACAGAATCTAACTCTCACCAAGCACAACCCCAGTGGCTTTAGCAACCCTGGAAAAAAAACCTATGCAAGGTGATTGCATTCTGCTACTTCATCCTAAAAGTGCCACTGTCAAACATTTTTTCAAAGAGCGTTTTAATATTGCAAGACTCTAGATGCACTACATCTTACAGTTTAAAGCTGCACTCCTTTCCTTTGCATTGTTTTTGGATTGGCAAATAACATCCATGATGCGAATACTGAGAAGGCAAACACCAGCTTTTTGGCCTCAGTAAAACATGAGGTATTTTCACTAAGAAATACAATTCTGGTGTCCGATTGATTCAGTTTTATTTATTCTTCTGAATGCCTGTATATTTAAATATCCTAAGTATTTTATTTCATTTACAGCAAACGGAAACTCTGGTGGTTTTTTTCCAAGCAAAAGAGGGGTATTATGTGCATATTGCGATCATTGTTTCTAAGTATTAGTCAGGAATTTTGTTTGCTGGGCTTACTCCTAGTTGGCATAAGCTAGTTTTTTAAGACAGGCATCATATGCTCAGTCTTTACCTCTGGAAGTGAGTTACCAGATACATGTGTGTCAGACACTACAATTACTCTTTTCCTTACGTTCAAAATGTGCAAACATCAAAGAGTGAATGGGAAAAACTTCCTTTGTCTTGTTCATGGCCTACACAACGACAGTGGTAGATTATCGTCATTTTTCAAATAAAAACTAAATTGCAGTAAGTTGAGATGAAATCTCGCTTACTTACCTGTAAAGTGCTGAAAGTGGCCTCTTGTTGCCAGGTTTTGGTCTGTATGGTTTTGGTTCTCCTGCCATGTTGATATCTGAAAGCAAATATTTGATATTGATAAGCTAAAGGTCTGGAAGTTAGCGTGAGTTTACCAAGGCACTTTCAAATCACTGAAAATGAGTAATGGACAGTGAAAATGGACAACATACCTAAAATATCTGCCTAGTTCTTACCACTTAAATTGATGATATAAAATTTTCCTAAAAATTCTTACTGTAATGCATGAAGATTTTGGGCAAAAAATCAGTTATTGATAACTGACATCTTTTAAACACGAGTTTCCAGTCATGAAGCTGAAGCCAGTAATGTATTTCTGTTACAGAAGGAGTCTTGAATGGTAACTTAGATGTAGAGACAAACTATGATGGCAAGTCAAAATTTGGTGTGTAGGGCTATAATGGTTCTGAAGAGTTCCCATTTAGGATCTAGAGAAATGCACACTGATTTGTAACTTCCACTTCCGTATCCACTCAAAAAGAGAGTTTTCAAAAGCAAATGAGAGTGTCTATTTCCTACTTTGGTGTGTAGGGCTATAATGGTTCTGAAGAGTTCCCATTTAGGATCTAGAGAAATGCACACTGATTTGTAACTTCCACTTCCGTATCCACTCAAAAAGAGAGTTTTCAAAAGCAAATGAGAGTGTCTATTTCCTACCTCAAATAATGTTTTGGGTTTTTTTTTTTTTCTGTTCCAAGTATAAAAATGCACTGGCTTTAAAATATGGTTTTGCACATACTGTGTCTTATGAATGTATTTATAATTCTCAACAACACCAGAAATCCTGTGCACACTTTTAAAAAGCTCTCTTACACTATGCCTCTGTATTTATCCCTGAAATTTAAAAATATGTGAAGCTTATACAGACATCAGTCATGCTGGTTCTCAAATTACTCTCTCCTTTTGAATCATACTCAAAGACATACCAGGAAATTGATGTCCACCATTTTGATTGCTTGTAACAGTTACCCATGGAAAAAGAAGCACATGGAAAAAGACCCCCCCAGCTCCAACAGGATGTTGCAAAATTGATATGAGAACAAATCATGTGGATAAAGTAAAACTTCTGATTAGGAAGCAAATTCCCTGCCATCTGAGTGACACTACCTCTCCTCAGTTTCTCCCAGTTAGCTGTCACTCAGGAGAGCTAACCCTCTCCTTAGTTTCACTAATATACAAAAGAGTAACATTCAACAAATCACCAGTTATTTTAGTGTAAAATTGCTGGGACAGAACAACATATCCCATCTACTATGGAACCACTAAGGTCGAGACTTTCAAGGAAACACATGCTCTCAGTAAAGTCTGTTTAACCTGAAATTGAGTGTTCTGGAGGGAAAAGAGAAGTAGATGGCTGAGGTGTAGAATGAGGAAGCATCCCTGCCCAGCAAAGTGATTTTTATTTAAGAATATGCCCAGACAATTTTCTTTAAGCTAGTCTTGACCTCAAAAGCTGCAGTAAAAGCCTGAGATACCAGTAAAAGACGGTATTTTTCTTTGACACAAAGTGGAAAAAATAATCCATCTGACTTTTATTTAACAATCAGATACATTGAAAATGTGTGTCCCTCAGATCTTTCGACATATAAAATTTTTCCATTGGAAATTTTATGCTTCAAATATTTCAAAGAATTCTAAACCTTTTTTTGCCATTTAAGTTTGTTATTTTGAGCTAAAACAACATTTATTTAAAATCAGAAATGGTCCTGCAATGAAAACATTTTGTGTCAAACTATTTACTATAAAATATACTTTTTGGTAATTTTTTCTCCATATAAAACATTTTGAAATTAAATCTGATTGTAGTTCATTTTGTAGGAGCTGTATTACTCTTAAATCATAGTTGTCTATAAAATATTAAATTCCTTGCTTTACTTACTCGGAAGCTGGGTGAATATTTGAAACACTTTTCGTACCTCCTTGAAATGCTTTCCTGCCCTTAATTTCAAGCAAGTGCTTTATTAAACATAATAACTTCTTTCCCTGATCATTAAAAATTCAGCTATGATTCCCTTATTTAAAGAAATACAAATTCTACTAATATTGACCCAACAAATTAAACATCAAGCATTTCTGAAAGTCACTGAGGAATTTTGGTGGCTGTGCTCCACTTCCATTGGCTCCTAGAAATAACAGAATCAGAACCAAATTTTTATTCTGTGACCTTTATGATAATTAGACCTTTCCACACTATTTTAATATGCCAGCTTTAAGGTCATTGACTGTATTGACTTTCACCATCTCCTACTACAACTAGGTCAGATTTTAGGAAAAAAAAACATAGAATTATAATCTGTTCTTTGAAAATACCTGAGGCTGTGGGATTCATCTTCACATATTTTTCATATCTCATCTGCTTCCCTTTCAGAGCTACAGCCCAGGTCAGTATTCTTAGGCATATGAACATCAAAGGACTTTAAAAACTTTTTCTTTCGGGGACAGATCAAGACTATCTTGATGATAATTTCTGTAGACCTATATTTGCAGCTCTACAACAGCCACTTTTAACAAAGATCAGTAGTGTAGAAGACTAAGGGTTGTTTGTTATGTGTTCCCTTTATTTTAATCAAATACTGTCAGAAAGGTAACACTGTAAGAAAACACAGTTGTGAAGCTGTTCAGAATCAGTTAAGAGTTAAATCTCTAAATGTACTAGCTGAAAACAGTGAACTAAGTTATACAGACAGTAATAGCCAGAATTTCTCTTTAACACGGGAAATTGTTCACAGAAAAGCTGTGCACATGGGGCTTTTTTGCTAATATGAAAGTGATTGAATAGCTCTGTGACTCCCTAAGCACCTTGTCGTAAGTTAAGAATGGATGTAGGAAATGGCTTGAAAAGTTAGAGCAGATTTTCACCCCATTATTTTTCAGCACTATCTACTCCAACCTCAATTTTCTAACTAAGATTAGAAGTGAACTTGTCAACATTTCACAGGATAGATTATTTCTAGCCCAACTGGAAATCTTGTGAGATAACTTGTTCTCTTGCTTCATCCATCATTAGTTTCACAGCAGACATTTACATCTACTAGGTCATAAACTGTGTGTCAAATAAATTTGTTGGGTGCAGCTCAGAGATTTACCTGCGCTCATGATTCCACCCCAAGGAATGCAGAGAGGTATCACTCCTTATTCTGTAAGATTAGCTACTGCACTTGTACACGAATATGAACCAGACAACTTGGCAAAGGACACAGACATTCACATTATTTCTATGTGGGAATGGGGCAGCCCAGAGACTCTCGCAGTATTTTCTCTGATCATATACTATAAATGCTCAGTTCATCAACATTAACTTAAACTCAACACTGAAATTCAAAATATTAAGGAACCTCTATGAACAGTTAAGTGACTGTGCAGGCAACAGCACATCATAAAGCAGCAGCCTGCTCTTTATGTGCTTTCAGAATCAAATGAGATTACTTTATTAAAAGAAAATAATCTTTAGTTTTATCTATTCTCGTTAGCACAGCAGAGATTAGTTAAGGTATGAGATCCAGATTTCATTTAAGGTTGTATATCATGAGTAGAATATATCTGTTTTCAAACACAGTATTTTATTTCTAATTATACTGGAAAGTGCATAGAAATTAATGAGAAAAGGATGACTTAAAAACCCATGCAAACCATTTAGAGAGAGTAGTGATTGTATTCAGTGGCAACACAGCTATCTGAAAGAGCAACTCAACACAGCATGATCTACCTTTCTTATATCATGGTTTCCTACCACTACCTGACTGTGCTCGAGGCTCTATAGTAATGACCAAGGAGACTCTGGTGCATGAACACCCCATTTTTGGAAAGGCAGTATCAGCTAGCCTTGAAGCTTCTCTCACAGTTTCACTGCCAAAACAATCTGAGAATCTGTTCCTGAAGTTGCCTTTAAACAACCTTTGTAAGTGCAAGCAATGATACCTAAAGCATATTCACACCCTAGAAGTATTTCAGGGCTTCTCAGTGCACCCGCCCTTCAGACTCTTCAAAAAGTTTTATTGACAAAAAACCCACAACAAAACCAATCAACCATTTTGATTCACAAACACAGATGCCATAAACTGGAACCCACAACAGGCACTGGCTCCACCCATGAAAAATGGGACTTGGAAGCTTTCTGCTGCAAATCCAGGACTTTTGTCTCAGGCTAAATCTACACTATGAGATTAAATAATGCCTTTCCCAGGCACTAGTACTCAGTTATCTCTTGTATTAAATTGTTAGTGTGGTTCCTGGCATGACTTTTAGCTCCATTTAACAAGTGCTTTCTCATAAAATCTCTAGACATAGGGAGAGAACTGACAGGAGCTAGGGATCACTGCGAATTAGCATTTTAGTTGTGGTCGTTCTGCTTTGCAGGGTAAGACCCAGTGAAAGAGAAGGGTTCCAAGTTCCTATAATTAAGTATTACTGATGTGTGGGCTCCATGTCAGAAAGGCTGGGAACCAAGACTTGGAGCTAAGCAAACTCTAAGGGTCTCTGTAGCTCAACAGCTAATTTTCGAAGACATTTTTAATCAGATGATCTTCCACCCATTCTTGTAAATGGTTGCAGAAACTGAGACGTTCCTTGAAAAACCTCACAATTGCTCGACTCCAAATTTTGGATGAAAAAGGGTGTTATTGTGTACTTCCAGACCAGCTCTGCTTTAGACTAACCTTTAATGGAAGAAATGGTAATTAAAATTAATCTACAGAGAAAAAATTTGCACACTGAATGCATAATTTAAATCCAGACAGAGGGTATAGGAAAATCAGGATGCATTTTCTTCTTTTTTAGATGGTCCAAAGTATATAGGACAGAAGAGGAAGACCAAGAGGTAGATGCAATTTAGTGAAAGCCTCTAGTCATGTGATTTAGAGCATAAATGCATACCAGCAAAGCTAATATTCATCCATCTTTCTTTTATACTCTTTCTACTACCAGTCCTATAAATCTCCCTACTGTGTACTAAAGGAATTTTAATGAAGTCATATGACATTTTTTATATCGTAAAATTCCTTTTTTCTTTTGTATGTTACATTAATTACATGTCATCTC